TTGCAGCACATGCATGCAGTGACCCCAGAAGAAGGTGTTGAGCCTCCTGGAGCTGGTGTTGACAGGGTGGTGAGCTGCTCCATGTGGGTTCTGGGAGCAGAACTCACGTCTTCTGCAAGAGCTGTATGTGCTCTTACCCACAGCCATCTTTCTAGCCCCTAGGTTACTTTCTTCATCGTCTCAGGCGTCAAATGAATCTAATATTAAACCAGTCTTTTGTTTTTACAGGGCCAGAGAGTAGTATTTTCAGTTTTGTGATCTGTTTCAGCAGCTTACCTTTACCACTGTTGCTTGAGAGCACTTGAAGGTGACACACAGTGTATGGATTGTACCTGGGTGCCGGCCACTTGAAAAAAAAAAAAAAAGCAGACCACGTAGCCCACAGGCTTATCAACTTTTGCTCTATGAAGTTCTTCCCAGAGGACTTGTTCCAGGTGCACCAGACACTAAAACTCTTGGATGCTCAGGTTCCTTCTATACACTGGCATCATATTTGCACAGAAGCCAAGCATGTCTTCTGATATATTTAACTCATCTCCGCATTATTTATAACACCTAGCACAGAACTGGTGAGAACCTACTCCTGAAAGTTGTCTTCTGACTTTCATGTGCGTGTGTGTGTGTGTGTGCGGGCGCGTGCGCGGGCAGATTCATCTGGTCTTCAATGCCTCAGGCTTGTTTCAAACTGGCAATTCTCCTGCCTTAGCCCCCCACGTGCTACAATGACTGGCACATGTCACCATCCTTTAGAGAGTTTTTTTCCCCAAGAGCCAGATGAATCTGGGATATTTCTCAGGACTCAGCAACTCAAAAGCGGGGATTGAGAAGAGGAAAAGTCTCAGTCTCTGTCTCTGTCTGTGCTGGAGATGGAACCCAGGACCTTGTGCATAATTGTTAAACACTCTTAACTCTTAGCTATGCCCCAGTCCCTGAGAGGAGATGAAGGTAAGGAGTCTTTGCAAAGGTATGAACAGGGTCAAGAAAAATGAGTAAAGTTTGTACTAGCAAGATGGCTATGGAGATAAAGGTGCTGCTGCCAGGTCTGACAACCTGAGTTCCACCTCCAGAATCCCTGGATCCAGAGAACTGACTCCTGCTAGTTGTCCTCTGACTCTGACTCTGACTACCCCCCACCTCTCTATTATTCCAGGGCTTGTAGCACAGGGTAAGCATTTTGGGGAGCCCTGCAGAGGGTCTGTTCCACACACTGCAGCTTCACCTGCCTCTTCCCACTCTCTTTTCTCCAGCTGTTCTTTGCTGGCCAGTGGGGGAGGGTGCCTGGGTCAGTGGGGATAGACAGAATCCTCAGTGCTGGCACAGAGCTGCTGCTACATTTTTGCTGGGAGATCAGTGTTCATCAGGCTGGCCTTCCTTTAAGGCAAGGAAGCCCACTGTCCAGTGCCCACAAAACTTTTGAGAATCCAGGGAAATACTCTAGTTTCTCTGAACATCAGAAGAAAATATCCAACTTTTAGGTCAAAGAAAATGTTACGGATAATACTCAGATCTGGCTTTAATCTCAGGTACTTTTCACATTGTGAGAAAGTAACATCCAGTGGCACCTAGTATTTCTTCAAAGTTGTGCAACCATTGCCCCATGTATTTCTAAAGCAATACACTCAGACTTTTTTCAAGATCTCAAGCAAAACATGCATCAAACTGACACAACCTGCTGAGCTTCCCAGTTTAGCGACACAGTACACCAACAATATGTCTGTTAGTTGTTTCTCCTTGTGACTGCAGAGTTGCCCACACCATGAACTGATCCTGTGGGAGAAGACCCCAATTCTAAACTCACACTAGGACGTCTACTGAAGGCGTACTTGCTTTCACACCACTGTAAAGCCCAACCACTGTATTTATCTTTATCCCAAGGCTGTCCATGAACTTGCTTTGCTTTTGCTGTACTGTGTATTAAACCCAGAACCTTGCATGTAATCCCCCACCTCAGCTTCCTGAGAAACTGGGATTACAGGCCTGTGCACGCCTGGCTGAAAGCACACTTTCTAAGATGCCCTGTAAATTCAAAGTGTTTGGTTGCTAGATGGGCAGGGTTTTTTACTTGCATGCATTTAATTTAATTTATGAAAAACACAACATCCCACCTTGGATTCTTTAATTTTTTGACACAGGGTTTCACTCGGGAGCCCTGGCTGGCCTGGAACTCACAATGTAGACCAGGCTGTCATCAAACTCACAGAGATCCACCTCCCTCTGCCCCCTCAGTGTTGGGATTAAGAATATGGGCCACCACACCTGTCATTTAATTTTTTAAATTGTATTTTTATTTATTTTATGTGCATGTGTGTGGGCTTGTGCGTGTGATGGAGAGCAGACAGCCTTCAGGAGTCAGTTCTCGCCTTCCACTATGGGGGTTCCAGGATTGAACTCAGGATTTAAGGATTGGCAGCAGGTGCCTCATTCACTGTGGGGCATTCACAGGTGCCCATTTCTCCAGCCCCAGGATACATTTTTAAGATAATGGGTATTTTAGGATAAATGGATATATGGTCTGGTGTGCAGAGGAGACACAGACTCTGAGGCTTGTGAAGCATACAGCCCAGGACAGTATCCCACACTCTTAAAGAGGCTCATGAACTCGCTAGGAACAGACTGTTGTAATTTCTTTCACAAGTGACTCCTCTCCCATTCTCCCCACTGTTCTCCTGGGCAGCAGGGACATTCGTTGAGCACCCACTGTTTGCAAATCACTTGCTCATTTTAACCTTCTGGAAAAGTTAAAAAGGGCTCCAGGAAGGTCAACCGTATTGGTTTGGGGGACTAGCCTTAAAGTGAGTTGTCAAGGCCTTTATATACAATCCGCAATGTGCAGTTGGGTTATGAACTGGAGGGCACCGCCCCCCCCCCCCCCCCCCCCCCCGGTTGAGATGATCTCAGTGAAATAAATGAGGGGACTGGAAAAAGAAAATGTCAAAGGGGTGCATTATTTTGCAGTTTCCTGCCCTGGCTCTGCTCACCCTTTTTTCTAAGGTACTGACCTTTTGTAGCCAGAACGTGACTCTTGCACCCTGGGGACAGTGTCTCAGGACCCTGAAAGGGCGCATCGAAGCAGACCGACTTCTGCCCCTCGTGTGCCCTCAGCCCCAGTGCCCGCCCCCTCCCTCTGCCCACGCCTTCCCCTACCTCCACCCTCACCAAACCCAGGCTCTTCTGTCCCCCGCAGAGACATGATGAGCAGCCACGGCAACAGTCTGTTCCTGCGGGAGAGCGGCCAGCGCCTGGGCGGGGTCGGCTGCTTGCAGGGGCTGCAGGACAGTCTGCAGCAGAGAGCACTGCGCACACGTCTGCGCTTGCAGACTATGACGCGAGAGCACGTGCTGCGCTTCCTGCGCCGGAACGCCTTCATTCTGCTCACAGTCAGCGCTGTCGTCATTGGTGAGCTCTGTGTCTGGAGGCGGGACTTGCACTAACTCTCTGCTGGTTTATGTCTTTATAGCGCCTTTCCTCTCTTTCATCTGTGCACACATCCCACTGGCCACTGCCCCAGCCCGAAGACACACTCATACAGAGGGCACACTCATGCAAACGCAGCTGTATGTGCACAGTGTCACATGTGTGAGTACGTGCACATCAAGTACACTGCAAATTTTCCATATGCACACAGAGACATGAACAAATCTTATGCATGCACAGACCTTAGAGGTTCAGGCACAAAACCCAGTGCACACGTGCACAAATACACAGCTGTCCATCATATCCTTGGGAGATTGTTTCCAGCAACCACCACCCCATTTATTTAAGGGACTTGAGCATCCATTGATTTAGGTATCTGGAGATGTTTATCCACAGGCTTCTGTATTTGTGGATGCTCAAGTCTCTTAAATCAAACAGGGCAGTGTTTGTCTAGAATTTATGCAGAGCTGTATGATATCATAAGTGATCTCTAGACTACTTGTAGCACCTAATGCTAGGCAAATTCTAGACAAATAGTTGTTATACTGTATTTTCTGGGGAATAATGACAAGAGAAAAATTTGTACACGGTCAAGTAAAAATATGTATGTAGTGTATAAAATAGGGGACTTCATCATGACATTTTCATATCTATATAATGTGCTTTGATCCTATTTACCTTCCATTACCCCTCTCTTATATTCCCCTCCCACTAGCCCCCTTCCTCTTCCCAAATAGTCTCCCTTCTATTGTCAGGAGACATTTTTTTTTCTAAAAATTTTCACCCATGCTTGATTGATTTGACAATGAAACCCAAGGATATCAAGGGCCAACTGTGCCAGACATTGTAGAACATAGAACACATCCACACATGTACATGCATTCACACCTCCAAGATGAAGAGCCTAACCACACTCCCCACGTTTGAAAACAATAACACATATATCACATTTATAGACACACTGGAGGAAGTCATGTGCATTTTCATGTGCATGATCCAACATATGCAGGCACATGTATATGCTCAAAACTGAGCACACACTGTCACATATACATGCATATGCATGGGCAAATGATTGCAGACATATATACATTTGCACACATCTAATGGTAACATTCCTTCATACATTTCTACAGTGCACACACATACCCATGCACACATAAATGCACATGCCTATGCACACACCTACCCATGCACATACCTACTCATGGACACACAAATTCACACCCTCTTAGAATGTTCACTGTTCACCTCACCACACTCCACACCCTCTCTGGGATGAATGGGCCCTGCTTGGGGCTGTGACCCGTACTCACTTCCACCAATCTCCTTCTTTTGGCTCTAGGGGTCAGCCTGGCATTTGCCTTGCGCCCTTACCAGCTCTCCTACCGCCAGATCAAGTACTTTTCTTTTCCTGGTGAGCTGCTCATGAGGATGCTGCAGATGCTGGTGCTGCCCCTCATCGTCTCCAGTCTGGTCACAGGTGAGAGCCCAGACCACTGTGGGCTTCCAGGACCCATCTAGGGCCCAAACTTGAGAAAAGAGCCAAGGCTACCCTAAGTATGGGAGCTCTTTCTCCACTCAGCAACTCAAACACAGAGTCTACATGCGTGAGGGAGGGGTGGCAGGGAAGGTAGCTTGGATTTAGGGTAAATGAGTAGGAGGAGGGTAAGCATGTAGGTGAGTTTGGTGGAGGTGTCAGAATGGAGGGTGGAGGAAGGCAAGGGGCTGTGGGCACATTATGTAGCACTTGGAAAACTTTTCCTTTCAGCCTCCAGGGTCACCTGATCTTTGTTGCAGTAGTTCAGTTCTATTCTTGTAATCGAAAAGCAGCCCTAGGCAATATGTGAACAAATGGACATGGTTGTCCTGGTTTCATTTCTGTTGCTATTATACAATTTCTTGACAAAAAGTAATTTAGGGGTGGGCCTTTGCTGTGTCCAGCATGGCAGGAGTTCAGAGAATCCTTGAAGAGGGACAGCATAACATGAAGGAAAAACACAAACTTATCTAGAGTATCAAGAGTGGAGAACAAGAAAGCTCTACAGAGGGAACAGAGGTCCCGAATTCCTGTTTCCATTGTATATTTATTACCTTAGCTTAGCATAAATAGAATAAAGAAAGACCATTACTCAGTGCAGTCTTGTGAAAGGTTCCTCAAGACTTCTTGGTATGCTATTTTAAAATGGAGAACTTGAGGCTTGAGAGGTGGCTCAGCAGTTAAGAGCACTAGCTGATCTTGCAGAAGGTCTAGATTTGAATCCTAGTACCCACATGGGAGCTAACAACTGTAACTCCAGTTCCAGGGGATCAGATGCCCTCTTCTGTCTTCCTTACGCACTGTACGGCATGGGTGCACTTACATACATGCAGTGGTTACTCATACAAATAAAAAAAATAAAAGAGAACTTGTTTTCTAAGAAGTAAGCTAAGTATAACAGAACTTATGACCTAAAGTCAGGATGATTTTTTTGTTATCAAGTCTGGGGCCTAGGACACCGAGTTCCTTTATCTGCCTTAACACCCATGTCTGTGAGACTTTTGCCATGTAGACATCCTTGACTGCAGGCACCATTGCTCATAGTCAAGCATGATTTCAGCATTGCTCAGGTAAAGCAGTTGTGCCCAAGCAGATCTTTCCACTTCAATTAATGTAAACAAGACAGTCTCCCCTAGACATGCCCACAGGTCAACTTGATTTAAACAGTCCCTCATTGAGATTTTCTTCCTAGGTGATTCTAGATTGTGTCAAGTTAACAATTACAACTAATCATTAAACAGTTGTGTTCCAATAAAACTTCATTATAAAAAGCCAGCAGTGGACTGGATTTGGCTTATAGGTGGTGGTGTTTATCAGTCCTTGGATTCAGGGACAGAAATAACAATCAAGACTTGAGACACTGGTTTCTTAGGTTGGGCTTCTTAGAAGCAGAGCTTGACATGTGGATCTGCATACAAGACACTCACTGAGGGAGAAACCTGTGAGGAAGTGAGGGAAGCAGGACCGAGTGGGGAAAGTAGCTAAGATGTGTGTTCTCAAGAAGGCTGGCCTCTCAGCGTGATCCCATGGAGGTAGGGGGGGGATTGCCGGGGGGAGCTCTGAAGTGTGAGCAGCATCATGGAATTGTTCCCCGCCTCCTACTCTGTCTCCATCTCAGTCCCCTTAGGAGTCAATTATTGGTTGTAGCTGCCCTTAGGGACCTTTCTGGATGAGGAAGCTTCTGTTCTGGGGGCTAATCTCAAGAGAAAGGAGCAGCACGAGCTGTTAGCATCCTAAAGTCACAGAAGCTGGATGGGTGCATTGGCCTGGTAGAGGGCATGGGTGGAGGCATGAGCAGTATCTATTCAGAGAATGTACAAAGAACTGGGCTGGAGGGAGGTGGGAGTTGGGGTGGACAGTGGGACAAAGATTTCGATGTTTGAGATGTTTATGGTGCACAGTGGACATCTATGGAGTTGAGGTGGGAGTTGAAAGGCTGACTTGAAGTAGAAAGGAGGCACTGTGCTTGGTGGAGTTCTTTGGAGTAAAGAATGGGGTTAGGGTGTGCAAATGATGGCTATGGGTGAATTGCTTCTGAAACAGGTCTGGGATGCCAGCCCAGTTACTCATGTTTTTAGCAATATTTTTATTTTAAAATTTGTTTTTAGATTGAGATACAAAAATTGAATCATCCCTTGGTAGCAACAGGGGATTGATTCCAAGATCCCAATAGATACAAATACCTGAGGGTGCTGAAACCCCTCTATAAAGTGGGGTAGTATTTGCAGATAGCCTGTGTGCCTCTTCCTCCATGCTTTACATAATCTCTAGGTGACATAGTATACCCAATACAGTGTACAACTTCATTCCAAAGTAAAAGAGACCTTTATTCACTCTCATAGAATTATTATTATTATTAAATCACATGAGTTCATGTGTGTCTACATGTGGGTATGTGCATGTGAGCACAGGTGCCCTTAGAGACCATAGATGAAACTTTGGGGGCTGCACCATGTCTCTTCCAGGTATGGCATCCCTGGACAACAAGGCGACGGGGAGGATGGGGATGCGGGCAGCCGTGTACTACATGGTGACCACGGTCATTGCAGTCTTCATTGGCATCCTCATGGTTACCATCATTCATCCTGGGAAGGGCTCCAAGGAGGGACTGCACCGAGAGGGCCGCATTGAGACAGTTCCGACAGCCGATGCTTTCATGGACTTGGTCAGGTGACATTCTCATTTTGTTGGGACTTCTGGATGTGCATGGAACAACTCACTTTCAAAGAGAGACCAAAGGGACAGATGGAAAGGGAAGCAGCTATTGATTACCATTTTGGGTACCCATTTTTTGCCCTGGATTCTTGCACATTTCCTCCAAGAGTGCTACACCTAGGATATGATCTTTCCACTCTTAGGTTGGGGAGAATACAGCTACAGCATCTTCAGATGGGGTCAGAACAGCTGCTGTTTTCCTGGTGCTCCCAATCTGCACTGGAGAGCAAATGATTCTCTTAGTGCAACAACATTTTGTCTACTAGCATCATGGCTAGCCATCTTTCTACCTTAGTATTGCCTTGGAGTTGGAATCTCTCTCTCTCTCTCTCTCTCTCTCTCTCTCTCTCTCTCTGTCTCTCAATTGAAGTCTGGAGATGCTATAAGGCTGTGGCAAGGTGCTCAGACAGACTCAGATTTGAGGTCTTAGTGTGCTTTCTGTTGCTATTAAAGAATGCCTGAGAGCAGGCAAAGCTAGCTCAGTTGGTAAAGGTCAAGCTGCCAAGCCTGACAACCCAAATTTGATCCCTGGGACCCACACGGTGGAAGGAGAGAAAAGAGTCCCTCAAGTTGTAGTCTGACCTTCACATGCATGATATTCTCTCTCTCGCTCTCTCTCTCTCTCTCTCTCTCTCTCTCTCTCTCTCTCTCTCTCTCTTGCACACACACACACACACACACACACACACAAAATTAATAAAATAAAATAAAACAGGATGGCTTCGTGGGTAAAGGCACTTGCCACGAAGCCCGCCAATCTGAATTTGATCCCCAGGACCCACATGGTTAAAGGAGAGAACTGACCTCCACAAGTTGTCCTCTGACATCCACCCATGTGCTGTGGAATGTGCATACTTATGCACACAACACAATAAATCAATAAATATATTTAAAAAATAGAGAAGAAAGATGAGTTGTAAAGAACCGAGGTTTGTTTAGCTCACTGTTCTGGGAGATGGGAGGTCTAGGAGTCTGTACTGGCATCTGGTAAGGGCCTTCTCATGGTGGAGATGGTGGAGAGCATCTTTTGGTGAGATGGAGCAAGCATGTCAAAAAGAGCTTAATTTTATAACACATCTATTCTCTATTAACTCATCAGACCGTCAACCCAAGGTTTAACCTCCCAATATCACCTTAATGGCAATCAGGTTTCAGCATGACTTTTGGGTGGGGGGTGACTAACAATAGGCAAACCCAAGTTCTGTCTGCACCCTTGAACAGCTGTGTGGGTCTGGGTAATGTTCTCTGGCCTTTGGTTTCTTTGTGTGGAAGGTAGGGATATTAACAGCACTTGCTTCTAGGATTTGTGGGGTTTAAGTCAGATGGTGGAGGGCAGGTGTACCACTCAGTACCTGGCCCACACTGGGCATTTCTACATGACTGTTGTCGTCATTGTCACTACAGTTACTATCCTTGGCTCTCGGAAGTCTAACTACTTTCCTTTCTCTGATGTTTTTCTGTTTTTCTGCAGAAATATGTTTCCACCCAACCTTGTGGAGGCCTGCTTCAAACAGGTCAGGGGAAAGCACTTGGTTTAATCAAAGAGGTGTAGAGGGTGGGGGCGCTTGCTACCCAAGGTGAAGGGTGGGTACGAGGGCCTGAGAGAGCAATGGGTCGGGGCTCTCAGAGAAGTCTGAAAGAACGAATGCAATTTCCATGGGTAGGATTTTTGTTTTATTATTTATTTATTTCATGTTATTTATTTATTTGTGTGTGTGTGTGTGTGTGTGTGTGTGTGTGTACATCAGAGGACAACTTGTGGGAGTTAGTTCTTTCCTTCCACCATGTGGATGCTGGGATTGAACTCACTTCATCAGGCTTGGTGGCAAGTGCCTTTACCTGCTGAGCTGTCGTGCTGGCTCTAGATTTTGAGTGTTTGAATTGGGAATGCTCAGCTTGTACTTATTTGAGCTACTGATTTCATTTCCTTGGTCACATACCCAACAGTGGATTGCTGAGACATACCATAGTTCTGTTTGTAATTTATGTATGTGCGTACCAAGGATGAAGCATACATACAGCCTTGTGTGTTCTAGGTTATGCCCAACTGCTTTTTGAAAAAAATACTTAAATTGTTTATTTTGATTAATTAATTAATTAATTAATTAATTAATTAATTAATTAATATCTTGTGTTGGAGTGTTTTGCCTGCATGTATGTAAGTGCACCTGTGTGTGCAATGCCCATGGAGGCCAGAAGAGAGTGTTGAATCCCATGGAACTGGAGTTATAGGTGGTTGTTAGCCACCATGTGGGTGCTGGGAACTGAACCCAGATCCTCTGCAAGAGCATCATTGCTTTTAACTGCTGAGCCATCTCTCCAGGCCCCAAATTGTTTAGTGCTTAAATCTGACCAGTTGGACTGGATAACCTGCCATAAAGCTTGTCTCTGGAGAAAACGGATTCTCCCTCTCTCAGCAGTTGTTGATTGCCTGCAGCTCTTCATGTAGAAGAATGGGAATATTTCCTCACACACATTGACATGCCATTATGCAAGTCTTGTTCAGGCACCCATATTGTGGAGATTTCATCATGTAGCTTCCCTGTCATGTCTAGAAGACACTGTCTAGCAGCAGTCCTGGACCTCTTGCTCTTACAATCTTTAAACAAGTATTTTTAATT